ATAGACCACCGCCTTCCAAGCCTCTGCCCAAGCTCTGCCCTGAGCTCCTCTCCACCTCCAGCAGCCTCACGGCGACGTAGATAGCCTCAAACCGTTGACGTCGATTAGTTCGACAAAACCCCGAGGCAAGATCCCGCTTCCTTTGACTTGTATTTTTATTATTTATATCTGTTATTAATTGATTGCATAGAATAGACTACAATATGTTATAACCTGCGTGGGATTGTTGACGAACGGTACTATACAATATTGATTACTGTGGTAGTGATATTCGTGAAGAGGGGTATGATATGTATTTTGAGCCGTATGTGATGAAAGGATACTTTGACAATGATATTCGTGAAGAGGGGTATGATATGTATTTTGAGCCGTATGTGATGAAAGGATACTTTGACAATTAGATTATAATTAATTATGGGGTATGATATGTATTTTGAGCCGTATGTGATGAAAGGATACTTTGACAATTAGATTATAATTAATTATGAGATATTTTTGAAGGAAATAATATTTCTAAGGATTATTTTGAATCATTATAATAATAAATAAGTTAAAAGTGTTATTTTAGAAAATGGATTATTTTGAATTATTAAGAAATAATTTTAAAAGAATTTATTTCGGTATCAGAATTATTTTTAGATGATTATGCTAATTTAAAAGAATTTATTTTGAGAACGGAATCATTTTAGATAATTATAATAATTTAAAAGGAATTATCTTGGAAAAGAATCATTTTAGAATAATTATGAATAAATTAAAGGAATTTATTTTGAAAAGGGAATTATTTTAGATTAATTATAATTAGAAAAGAAATTATTTTCTAAGAGGGAATATTAAAAAAAATATTTAAAGAATGTATTTAGAATTATTTAAAAAGAGTTATTTTGGAAAATAAAATTATTTTTGGATAATTATAACAAGAAATAAAGAATTTATTTTGGATAAAGAAATCATTTTGAAGTAAATAAATTTATTATTTTAAAAGATTATTTTTAAAAATCTCGTGATTTGTGATTCTCATTTTAATTATGTGATATGTCATGATATCATTACACGTGATGGGTTGTATTTATTATTTTCTTTTGTGATTGCGAACCATTCGTTGTTTATGACTTAGTGGCTTTGCACGTCATGAACAAGACTTAGTGACATGTATGTGTGCGTTGACTAAATTAGGAGGTGGACCAGAGATCAACTGTAGATGATGTGTATGTTGACTTAGCAAAACAAGAAGAGTTGGGATGGGGAAGTCCATGTTCATGTGATCGGATATAGCTATTGTTGTATCCTCCAGGCTCGTTCCATGATCCAGTGTAGCTTGGGGTTAGTTTGTTGGGTCAAAGTGAAGCCAGTGTAGTCACTTTGGTCCGTGAATTTGATATTCACCCGAGTTTAGCTTGGGTTCGAACCTAGTTGAAATCGGATTGTGTGTAGCCCTCTGACCAATCCTGTGTAGTGGCATATTGAGTGCACGTAGGGGATTTGTGAACAGTCAATTATCCGATGATATGAGCATTGACTCTGTGTGAGATGTCGACCAGTGAGCTTTAGGATGGCTAGTATTCGACCCGATTATCGTATGCAGTTAGCTTTATGTTTATCATATTTTAGTAGTGAATTTCCATGTTAATTTTGTTGGATTTCAAGTTGCACGTTTCTTTGTCATTCTGTTGTATCGTTTTCGCATCGGGTTTTCGTTCGTTCTTTCCTTTTGTAGGATCTTGTCATGTGCCATGCACGCTGATGTACACCTGTTTCCTCTGGTGTACGTCAGATTTAGAGGATGAATAGGTCCAAGATGGATATGCATTGAAGATGGAGTAGCAAAAGAAGCCGAAGCTTAGTTATGGGTCCTCCATTTACTTTTGTAGCACCTTTCATTCTATTGACCGATGTATTTTATATTTTCCAGCATTTCTTTCAGATAGTCTTGTATAAGGGCATATTGACCCGAATGTTATGCTTGGGATGATATTTTAGTTATGATATGTATATTTTCTATTCTGAGTTGTTTATTATATTCTCGCTACTGTGACCGGGGACCTGTGCATTTGTTTTATATTGCTTAACGCTTAGCGTATTAGATTGAGAATACGGGGTCTAACACTTATTTCTCCTCAGTCTAATATGTCACGGGCTTGCTCGCGTTCCAATTCCCTGGTATTTTGGGAAGCGGGGCGTGATAGGTTTTTCTGGTGGCCTACGCAGGTCACGATCCCGAGTTCCCACCTGTGAGAATATAATAGATGATTTAGACGCATATCACTATTTCATCCATGAGACTATTCTTCCTCTAACGCTCTTGATTCTCACATTTCCTTCAGAACCATGGTGGGTATATGGAGTAATAGCAACCCATCCAGTAACAGTGGTCAGATGCCTGAAGTAGATCCGCAGCAGCTTTTGGCGATGATTCAGGGACTGGTTCCAAACCAGCAGTTCTTAGCTTGGCATTTGCAGCAGGGGCCTCAGCACCAGCATCCCCCTCGCTCAGAACCTGGTGTTAGAGAGTTCTCCTATATGCGACCTCCTTCTTTCTCCGGTGCCGAAGGACCTCTAACAGCAGAAGAGTTCCTGAATGTTACCGAGACTATCCTTACGGTGACCCGCATTGCCCCTCCAGAGTGGGTGGACCCTATGGATATCCAGCTCACAGATACAGCTCGAATCTGGTGGGTTGCTAAGAAGACACACCTAGAGAGGCCGATTCTATGGGAGACGTTCACGGATCACTTCAATAGGAAGTATTTTCCTCAGTCAGCCAAGGATGAGCTTTTGCGTAGATTTGTCGAGCTCAAGCAGGAAGTCGATCAGTCGATGATTATGAAGTCGAGTTCTCTTCCCTCAATCGATATGCTCCCCATTTGGTTACAGACCCCACTATTAGGAGGCATCAGTTCCAGAAGGGTCTAGGCAAGTACATCAGATTAGCTCTGGTTAGTAGGGCCATCGCGACTCATGATGCTGTGCTGGATGCAACGTGTAAGATCAAGAGTGTTCAAAAGAAGCCTGAAGATCCACATGTGATTCAGAGCAGAGCACCAGCAGCTCTAACCCGAAATATTGAGCGTCCTCCTCCAAGGTAGCAGTAGGCTCCGCAGAGGCAACAGTTTTCCCAGCGGCAGCCACTTCCTCAGGACGACCCCTATCAGCGTCCTGGAGTGCGGACTCACGGCCAGCCTTCGGTGAAGTGTACCTATTGTGGCTACACTAGGCATACCCAGCAAGAGTGTCGCAGGCATCTTCGTCTGTGCTATTCCTGTGGATCCCTCGACCATGTCAGTTGGGAATGTCCACAATGGCAGCATGCCAGCTTGCCTCCATCTCTAGTTCGGGCAACTCTTCAAGCTCAGCAAAGCCCTATCCTCGAGCAGGGCCTCTTCCTCCACAGAAGTAGGTTTATCAACAGGCACAGAGGTAGCAACCACCGCGTCAGACATTCATGATGTCAGCTGTGGAAGTTAAGGCGAATGACCAGGTTATCACTGGTAAGAACTGTTCGTTCTTAGTTTTACTTGCATATGAATTTTCCTTATTTAGCATTACCTAATGATATCATGATAGGATTTTTTTATGGGTGCTAAGTTTAGTTGCATTTACCTCCTCCTGTAATAGGCAAGGTTCTTGTTTCTTCTGTTCCTGCTTTATCACTCTTTGACTCTGGAGCTTCTCATTGTTTCTTGTCTCGTCAATTTGTGAGTACTCACTCTCTTCCTGTAACTCCTCTGACTAGGGCTAGAATATCAACACTGGCAGTAGTGTCTTAGTAGCATCCAATGGTTATGAAGCATGCCCTGTGGTCCTTTGAGATACCGAAGCTTCTCATTCATTGCCACCATCGATAGTCGTAGTAGAAGTGTGGTCTTTGAGATACCGGATCACCTGAGGTTTGAATTCCTCAATGGCAGTATCTCGGCTAGACCTGTGAAGCATAGAGCTAGTCCAAAGAAGGAGATGATTGCTGCCATGCAGGTGGAAACTGAGAAGCCAATTGTAGTTCAAGAATTTGAAGATGTATTTCCCGATGACATTTACGGGTTACCACCAGATCAGGCAATTGAGTTTTCTATAGAATTGAAGCCTGGAGTTGCTCTAATCTCCAAGACCCCTTATCGTATGCATCCGGCAGAGTTGGCCGAGCTTCGGATTCAGTTAGATGACCTCTTTTGCAGAGAGGCTTGATTCGACCCAGTGTATCGGCCTGGGGAGCACCTGTATTGCTTGTGGGAAAGAAGGATGGATCCAAGCGGATGTGCATTGACTACTGGGAGTTGAATGCGGTGACAGTGAAGAATAAGTATTCACTTCCCCGCATCGGTGACATATTTGATCAATTGGGAGGATTAAGGATATTTTCTAAGCTGGATTTGTAGAGCGGGTATCACCAGGTGAAGGTTAAGGATTCTGATGTCCCCAAGACTGCGTTCCGTATGAGATATGGACATTATGAATTCTTAGTGATGCCATTTGGTGTGACTAATGCGTCGGCGATATTCATGAACCTGATGAATCTAGTATTCTATAATGTGCTGGACAAGTTTGTGGATGTATTCATTGATGATATCTTGGTGTACTCTAAGAGTGAAGCTAAACACGCAGAGCATTTTTGCAGTACATGTTGAAGACCTTGAGAGAGCATTGGCTATTTGCCAAGTATAGTAAGTGCCAGTTCTGGCTGGATCGTATTGCATTTTTAGGACACGTGGTGTCAGGAGACGACATATCTGTGGACCCAGAGAAGGTATCTGCTGTTAGGGATTGGCCTACCCCTAGGACAATATCTGACATTAAGAGCTTCCTGGGGCTAGCTGAATATTATCGGCGCTTCATCAAGGATTTCTCAAAGATCGTAGAGCCGATGAAGCAACTTACAAGGAAAGATATTAGATTTGTCTGGTTTGATGCTTGTGAGCAGGTGTTCGAGGAGTTGAAATCTTGACTGATCTCAAACCCGGTCTTGACAATACCAGACAAGAGTGGGAACTTTGAAGTGTTCTGCGACGCTGGCAGAGGATTGGGATGTGTTCTCCAGTAGAACGGTCATGTGGTAGCATATGCATCTTGTTAGTTGAAGCAACATGAGAAGAATTACCCTACACCTGATCTGGAGTTTGCAGTTGTGGTTTTTACTCTCAAGCTTTGGAGACACTATTTGTTGGGAGAGCAGGTGAAGGTGTTTACGGATCACAAGAGCTTGAAGTATATCTTCACTCAGAAGGAGCTCAACATGAGACAACGCCGATGGTTAGAGCTGATGGTAGATTACGACATTGACCTTCAGTACAACCCTAGCAAGGTCAATATAGTACCAGATGCTTTGAGCCATTTGTCGGCAATCATGACCCTTACAGCTCAATGGAGACTTCAGTAGGAAGTGAGGGATATGAGTATAGAAGTTATTCTTCCAAGAGTCACCGCTTCTTTAATGAATCTTTAGATTTAATCGACATTGGTCGAGCGAATCAAGGCTGCACAAGCAGGTGACTCATTTCTTCATAAGTGCGGAGAGTTAGCAGTGGCTAGTCTTCAGCTAGAACTTGTTGTTCATGAGGACAGATCCTTATGATTTGGGAGTCATATCTGTATACCAGAAGGAGATGTTCGAGAGGAGATATTACGGGAAGCTCACAGCTCACCGTACTCTATTCACCCTGGAGGTACGAAGATGTACAAATATCTGAAGCTGACCATTGGTGGCGTGGCATGAAGAGAGATGTGGCTCGTAATGTGGCTAAGTGCCTTGTATGTCAGCAGGTGAAGCCAGAGCATCAGCGCATTGCGGGTCTTTTACAACCATTGCCTATTCTGGAATTAAAGTGGTAGCATGTCACTATGGACTTCGTTACTGGCTAACCTTGAAGCACTAGATAGAATGATGTTGCTTGGGTGATAGTAGATCGATTACCCAAATCAGCTCACTTCATTCCATTCCGAGTGGGACAGTCGATGGAGCATCTTGTTGAGAGATACTTGTAGAAGATCGTGCGATTGCACGGAGTTCCAGTGTACATCATCTTGGATCGTGATACATGATTTACTTTTGAGTTCTATAAGAGTTTGCAGGCGAGTCTTGGGACCAATCTCAATTTTAGCCCAGCTTATCATCCTCAGACTGATGGGCAGTCGGAGAGGACTATTCAGATTTTGGAGGATATGCTTAGAGCTTGTATGCTTGATTTTCACGGGTCGTGGGAAGATCAGCTACATCAGGTAGAGTTTGCATACAACAATAGCTTCCAGGCTAGCATTGGAATGACCCCTTTCGCGGCATTGTATGGGAGGAAGTGTCGCTCTCCTTTGAGTTGGGACGATGTTGGTGAGCAAGAGATTTTTGGGACCGAGCTGATTGCCAAGTTAGTTGATGTTGTCAGGATCATTCGGGAGTGACTTCGCATAGCACAGGACTGATTTAAGCATTAGGTGGATGCGAAGTGTCGATACTTAGAGTTTCAGCCAGGAGATCATGTGTTCCTGAAGATTTCTCCCAACCGAGGCATCATTCACTTTGGAAGGTGTGGGAAGTTGAGTCCGCGATATGTGGGACCTTACCATGTATTAGAGAGAGTGGGAGAAGTGACATACCGACTTGTATTACCACCCACCTTGGCTGGAGTTCATAATGTATTTCACATTTCTCAGTTGTGAAAATACGTCGAAGATCTGAGTCATGTCGTAGAGTTTTTGGAGATTAAGGAGCGATCAATTAGACATACGAGAATCAGCCTGTGGCGATCCTGGACTGAAGAGAGAAGACTCTTCGGAACAAGACCGTCACGCTCGTTCATGTGATGTGGTATCCAGATTATCCTAGCGAGTCGACTTGGGAGACTAAGTATGAGATACGACAACGATACCCTCATCTATTTCCTGAATTTTAGCTGTCACATCTTGTATCTTATTTGTATCGTTCATGTAGTACATTCCCATTTCCTTATGAACATGTAGTATATCCTGAATCCTTCTCTATATGAGTTAAAGTAAGTCTTTAGTTCTATATTTATGTCCTTGGTTTTTGTGCATCACCCTTAATTTAATTCCGAGGACGGAATTTATTTTAAGGGGGTAGAATATAATGACCGTAAATTTCTAATACGGGTTTTAATAAATTTTTTAGTATTTAAGTATTAAAAAATTATTTTAAATGGGTATATTTTCCCCTAGGTTTTCCTCTCTCACCTGTAAACCATCTCTCATTTTCTCTCTCCTACACTCCCTAAATCACTCCTAAATTCCCGCACAACCCCTCACTTCTCTGACCTCGCCCATCCCTCACTGACATCCCCCTCTCCTCTCGTACTCTCTATCTCTCTCACTTCCTCAAAACCCACAATGCCATCCCCTCCCTCATCTCGTCTCTCTCTCAACCCAAGAAAACTCCCTCTCTCTCTCTCTCTCTCTCTCTCACTCTCTCTCAGTTCACCCTCTCTCTCCCTCTAAACACCTGCTGCTCCAGTCACCGACAACACCCACCCCATCTTCCATCTCCGACGCCATCATCACCACACCACCACCTCATCGTCACCCAGCTCCATCACCTTCTAATCACCGCCTTCATCTCGAGCTCAACCAGTCACCCTTAAGCCACCTCACCTGAGATCCTCCCGAGTTCCCCCTGCTCTGTCGCCACCCTCCAAGCTCCGCCATCAACCCCCGAGTTCACCGCCCCTCTCCCCTCCTGCTGTTCACTACCATCGCCATCACTAATCCCTCAAGCTCAGCTCCGAGCTCCGACGCTGCACTGTCATCTTCGCCTGAACCCCTGCCCTTTCTCAACCCCATGACTGCGCTGCCCATCTCTAAACTCACTCATAGCAGACCAGCCCAACCACCTCACCTGAGCTCCCTCCCTAAGATCTGACCACCGACGATGCCATCATAATCACCAACTCCTCACCTCGATGTTGAACCTCTAGCACCTCATCCCCGACGAACCCTGTCTTCGCCCCTCCAAGATCTCTCTGAACCCAAGCTCTGACTAGAGCCACTGCCGCCTGAGCTCTCCCCTCGCTGCGCCTCGACCCCGAGCACCCTGAGATCAGACCCTCATTCCCTCCACCTCGCCCAACACCGACGAGCAGCGCCCCTACCTCACTCACTCCGTCGTCGTCCTCTCTTCCCCTGCTCGTCAGTCCACTCACCGCCATCGAATGCCCCCATCACTACCAAATAGAGCACCGCCTTCCAAGCCTTTTTCCGAGCTCTACCCTGAGCTCCTCTCCACCTCTAACAGCCTCACGGTAATGTCATTAGCAGCAAACTGTCGACGTCGATTAGTTCGACAAAACCCGAGGCAAGATCCCGCTTCCCTTGACTTGTATTTTCATTATTTATATCTGTTATTAATTGATTGCATAGAATACACTACGATATGTTATAATCTACGTGAGATTGTTGACGAACGATGCTATATGATATTGATTACTGTTGTAGTGATATTCGTGAAGAGGGGTATGATATGTATTTTGAGCCGTATATGATGAAATGATACTTTGACAATTAGATTATAATTAATTATGAGATGTTTTTGAAAGAAAGAATATTTCTAAGGATTATTTTGAATCATTATAATAATAAATAAGTTAAAAGAGTTATTTTGGAAAAATGATTTTTTTGAATTATTAAGAAATAATTTTAAAAATTTTATTTCGGTATTGGAATTATTTTTAGATGATTATGCTAATTTAAAAAGAATTTATTTTGAGAACGGAATCATTTTAGATAATTATAATAATTTAAAAGAAATTATCTTGGAAAAGAATCATTTTAGAATAATTATGAATAAATTAAAGGAATTTATCTTGAAAAGGGAATTATTTTAGATTAATTATAATTAGAAAAGAAATTATTTTGTAAGAGGGAATATTAAAAAGAATATTTAAAGAATGTTTTGAGAATTATTTAAAAGGTGTTATTTTGGAAAATGGAATTATTTTTTGGATAAATATAACAAGAAATAAAGAATTTATTTTGGATAAAGAAATCATTTTGAAGTAAATAAATTTATTATTTTAAAAGATAATTTTTGAAAATCTCGTGATTTGTGATTCTCATTTTAATTATGTGATATGCCATGATATCTTTGTACATGATTGGTTGTATTTATTATTTTCTTTTGTGATTACGAACCATTAGTAGTTCATGACTTAGTGGCTTTGCGCGTCATGAACAAGACTTAGTGAAATGTGTGTGTGTGTGTTGACTAAATTAGAAGGTGGACCAGAGATCAACTGTAGATCATGTATATGTTGACTTAGCAAAACAAGAAGAGTTGGGATGGGGAAGTCCATGTTCATGTGATCGGATATAGCTATTTATGTATCTTCCAGGCTCACCCTATGATATAGTATAGCTTAGGGTTAGTTTGTTGGGTCAAAGTGAAGCCAGTGTAGTCACTTTGGTCTGTGAATTTTATATTCACCCGAGTTTAGCTTGATTTCGAACCAGGTTGAAATCGAATTGCATGTAGCCCTCTGACCGATCCAGTGTAGCAGCATATTGGGTGCACGTAGGGGATTTGTGAACAGTTAGTTATCCGATGATATGAACGTTGACTCTGTGTGAGATGTGGACCAGTGAGCTTTAGGATGGCTGGTATTCGACCCGGTTATCGTATGCAGTTAGCTTTATGTTTATTATGTTTTAGTAGTGAATTTGCATGTTGATTTTGTTGGATTTCCAGTTGCACGTTTCTTTGTCATTTTGTTGTATTGTTTTCGCATCGTGTTTTCGTTCGTTCTTTCCTTTTGTGGGATTTTGCCGTGTGCCATGCACACTAACGTACACCTGTTTCCTCTGGTGTACATCAGATTTAGAGGACGAGCAGGTCCAAGATGGAGATGTATTGAAGACGGAGTAGCAGAAGAAGTCGAAGCTTAGTTATAGGTCCTCCATTTACTTTTGTAGCACCTTTCATTCTGTTGACTAATGTATTTTATATTTTCAAGCATTTCTTTCAAATAGTCTTGTATTAGGGCATATTGACCCGAATGTTATGCTTGGGATGAAGTTTCAGTTGTGATATGTATATTTTATATTCTGAGTTGTTTATTATATTCTCACTACTGTGATCGGGGCCCTGTGCCTTTGCTTTATATTGTTTGACGCTTAGCGTATTAGATTGAGAAGATGAGGTCTAGAACTTATTTTTCCTCATTCTAATACGTCACGGGCTTGCTCGCGTCCTGATTCCCTAGTATTTTGGGAAGCGGGGCGTGACACTGACGAATATGGGCTTCGGATTTGGTTCGTCGACCATGTTCACCTGGACCACTTTTACTTCAGTGGGAGGTTTTCTTTGTTTGAATTTATCACCATATTGGATATTTAGGTGATGGATCCAAGAATCTTCGTAAGTTGGCAATTGGTCGTCTTCCTCTATTGTGGCAGGATCGACCGTGGCCATATACGATATTAGGCCTTTGAATATTTCGCCAAGATTGACGTCGCAGTCCCAATTGGAAGAATCAGATGAGTATCTGTCTTTATTCGCTAATTGGTTAATAACTTGCCAGCAACATTCATCATCAGATGAAGAGACGTAGTCGAGGCCCCTTTTATAGCCATAATAATTGTCGGGTTTTCCTCTCGGTACATAGGCCGGACGAGGTGGAACCCGTGAGCCTTGACCAAAACAAAGACCTTCTTCGAGTGCGAAGTTGTATCCCCATTTCTTCATGAAGTTATGTGATTGTTGGCTGTATTTGAATAAATGAGGACCGGGTCTCTACTCGTCACTATTTTCCTTTGAGAAGGGATCTAATGGTGGAGATACCTCCCCTTTGCCGAAAACTAACTCCTTTTCACCCCCCCCGCCTTAGCAGGAATTACGAAGGTTGTTCCAAATGAGTTTTGGACATGCTTTTTCATCATGCAAGATGACCAAAGCGGCATGTGTATGTCGGGGTTATCATATAGTCCCTGCATCATATTATCAAGACAAGGTGAATACTCTTAATCGTCATTTATTGCTTCTTCGGTAAGTTGCCAATTATAACTACCATCTGACGATTCACCATCGTCAAGATTGATTACAAAGGCTACAATATCTTTTAACACAAAACCTCTATTCTAATCAAACCCAGCTTCAGTATCAGCTTCTTCTTCACTGTCTGTGCCTTGGACCGATGATTCAGTATCGGATTCAACACCGTAAAGAAGGGAGTCAGTAAAGTAATTTTTCAACCCCTTAAATAGTTGCTTATCCGTGACCATCGTCTTGACCTCATTATTTGTGTCTATATATTTTAGACATTGATGGAGAGTGGAGGGGACAATAAGATTACCATGGATCCAGGATTGACCCAATAGTAAGTTATAGGAGGTTTCCGCATCGATCACGTAGCATGTAACTTAGGACCTTAAATCCCCAAGTTGGTACTTCACACGGATTTTACCCAAGGGTCTGGACCCACTGGTATTGAATCCATAGATAATGGTGCCTATCGAAGATAACTTGTTGGCAGAGATTCTGAGACTATACATTAATCGGAGTGGCATGATGCTGACAGCTGAACCCGAATTGACTTGGATCCGATTAACAACGCTAGAGCCGATGTATCCAATGAAGTACAGAGGCTTATCATGCTTCGAGTTTCTCACATGCATGTCATCCTTGGTGAATGTAATACAAGGGAACTACTTGGCCGCCAAATTGCAATGGTGAACTGGTGGCTCTGGCTTTTCGGGAACTGGCTTGATTTGAGTGAGGAATATGTCAGAATCAGCCAAGGCTTCTTGTAGGGCCTCTCTAGTGTATTCGGAATAAGGTAACAGCTCATATAGAGTTATCCTCGCTAGGAAGTTAGCTAGCTAGGTCATAACATCGAAGCGGTATGGTGTGCTTGAACGTCTCGGTTTATCTCTTCCAATCGGACGATTGAATCGAGACTGCTTTGGGTTCTGAGCCTCTTGCCATTGGGGCTCTTTCTCCTTTTGCTTGTTAGTTGGTTGTTGCTGGGGCTTCCCAGTAGGTACAGGGGAAATTGTAACCACCCCCAGCTCAGCCAACATTTTAGCATTTGGATCAGAGGCTCCAGGATATTTATAATAATATTCGTTCCCGCCCCTGGTAGCAAAGACTTCATGTTTGTCCTCGGAAAGTGATAAGGTAAGGATGCCTACATCGTCTTTCTCAGGGATTGCTCTCACGGGACAACATAATTTGCCCCTACTCTTGGGCTTCTTCTTGAACGAGGACCCTGCCCATTGTTCATCTTTGAGCAAATCTAGATGGACCCAAAGAATTTTGCCGTTAAGGGCCATGTGCTACACAAGTCCCTTCTGGCGTTGTCCATGGGGATCGTTATTAACCGTCTTCATCTCCATCTTTGATACGAACTCTTGCTGAAACCATTACAGAGGGACAGAACTAAAACTGATAGAAACCGCATTTGCGCCCACCTTCTTTACCTTAGGCTGCTTTACGGTGATGATACCGACATCGATCAAGGCTTAGATCTTGTCCTTGAGGGTGTAGCACATCTTAGTGGGATGATGGACCCGTCTGTGAAAGGCATAATACTTTGGATCCGTTGTTCTCTTGGCTTCTTCCTAGTTAGTGATTGGAGGCAATTTGATTTTATTGTTATCTAGGAGGTATTTAAAGATTGCAGGAACTTCATCTTCCTTAAAGGAGTATTCCTTTGGGAATTTTGGTTTAGAAGTCTTCTGCTGTCTTTGAGGTCATTGTTGCCACTGAGAAGGTGATTTCTGTGGCGCTTGCTGTTACGGCTGCAGCTAGAATGTCTGATTCGCATCAACTGTATTCACCGACATCTTCCCTTTACCACGAGGGACAAATTTTTTCTTTGGATCATTAGCCACCGGTTGACCTCTTTCAGCCATCTTCCGTTTAAGGAAGCGTTCGGCTTGCTCTCCGTGCACATTTAAGTCTTTCCATGTTTCAGATAGTGTCACACCCATGGCTTCCAGCATATCCGAAGAAAGGTTATTGTGACATGTTTCAAGAATAAACTCCTCCATGACCGGATCTCGGTAATTCATTGCCTTATTCCGGAAGCGTTTAACGAATGCATCAACCGACTCTCCGTCTTTTTTGCTTCTCATCGAACAGAGTCCTAATTGACACTTTAGTATCATCGTTGAATAAGTTTGTGAGGAACATGCTCTCCATATTGTCCTAACTACTAATGCTCCCTAGCTTGAGATGGCGGTACCATTCGAAGGTGGCTCCGCGAAGGGTGCCGACGAATAACCGGATTATCAAAGGTTCGTTGTTAGAGATTACGCTGAGGTGTGATTTAAAATAAATCATATATAGAATTGATTCCCACTCTCTCGGATATGGACACGGGATATCGGTGTTCTTCACCTCTTGAGTAGACATTAAAGCGTTGACTTTGCTCTCGAGGTCCTTCATCTTCTTGTCTTCGCCCGCATTTTTCTTTGGGGGTTGCTGAGAAGGTTAAGGAGATTCCACTAGACCATCCCTAGGGTTATTGTCATTTGGAGGAGTATCAACGTTGGTATTTTTATCCACTTCCGAGTCGTTGCCTGCTTCATTAGGGTTGTTGCGACAGCTGGATTCAGCCTGCTGATTCGACAAGGATTGAAGCTGTTGGACATGTAACTTCCTCATGAGCTGCATGTTCAACTCCATTTCCATCTTCGTTTCAACTCTGAGCTCTTCTTTCTGCTTAGCTAGAGCGTTTTTGAGCATTTGAGCTAACAGGTCGGGAGTGATGGTGAACGCTTCCCGAACTCGTTAGGTGCTGCACACAGTATCATCCGAAGTGACTATAAAGCAAGCGTTTGATGCTTCATCATCTGAGGATAACCCTCTACTCATTCGTTGATAATCCCTTGGTATGATAGCTCCGACTCGCAGTCGAGTTAAACGTTAGGATATTTCTAGAAAAGGTTCAGGGCTGAAACACTGTGTTGACTTCCCTTTATCGGTCACGTTGATGGTGACTTCTAGGAGTTCGTCATCTTGAACGGTTGGTCTTCTCTTGCAGAAACGTCTCGGCTAGGGCTTCAATGTTTTGGTAGAAAATCTTTCAAATACTAAGACCCTCTGTGGAGGGGTCTTGGTGCAGCTACACTTTGATAATACTACCCTGATAAGCTTGGTATATGGACAGTGAGAATCTATTTCCTGGGTGCTTCTCTTCTGAGTTTTGTTCGTACCCCCAGCCTGATAGTACAACTCATCAGCATGATTACAGAAGCAAACTATTGTGTGCTGGCATGACTTCCTAGATATAACATAATCGTATTCCGACGCACACACTTCCTTTTGGGGATATAATGCCTCGTTAGCATTCTTAAGAGTCACTCGTTTGGAACCATGCTTTCGTGAACGCGGGGTCCCAACGTGCTCTTGGACTTCAACTTGCAATCCGAGGTGAGTAGTTACCAGTGCTTTCTTAACATGAGAGGTCCTTAATTTGTTGGCAGGACGTGCACGACCCCTAGTCTGACGAATTGCTCAGGGTTCATTCACCGGACCCAAGCGCTCTTTAACTTATGTTTTGCCTTAACCCTCATGCAAAGGACGAAGATGATCTGTGATCTTCATCTTGAATCAGGACAACTCCATACTGTCGTAGGGTTCCACGGAGGTGCGGGATTAATCAGGACATGAACAAGGGCTGTCGGAGACTCAAAAATGGCAGCGAGAGGTGAACCACTTGGTAGCTCGGTTTTGGCTTAGCCAGCATTTGGTACCTCGGCTTTGGCCGAGCCAGCAATGGCCGAGCTAGCATTTGGTGGCTCAGCTTTGGCTGAGCCAGCAGAATGTGGTTCATGTTTTTCAATGATTTCGGGCGTTGTTCGGGTTATTTTTTATGCCGTTTTGGACTTTGGCCTCCAGATTTGGCGTAGTTTTGGTAGTTTATTGACCACCTCTTCCCTTTGCAACTTTTGTGCTTCCTGCGTAAGATTTCGCGCGTGTGCGAGTAGTGCATGATGCTTTTAGATGTGTTCCTCAAGAATCGAATGGGTCCTTTTATCGCAGATCCATTCATCAGCTGGTGGTCTGGAGGAGGAGCTATTTGGCTGTTGTTGAGACGCTTGACGCTTTTTGGATTTTAGATCCGCTTCATAATGAATCCCGTCAACTGGCTCTAAG